CCTCCTCCTAGTTCTCAGACATGCTTCTGTGTAAGTTGGAACCCAGGATCCTTTAAAATGAAGATTCCAGGATTCACATCCAGTGGATCTCATATAGTGTAGTCAGAATGATGCCCTGGGATCTGCGAACTTACTGGCCAACCTAGGGAACTTTCAGAAACCTTATTCAATCCCTGAGCTAGCAAGACTGTCTGCAATATGCCCACTCTTCCCAGGACAGACATGAGGTTGAGAACAGTGACCTCAGAGCACACGGGAACACAGGACAGGATGAACTAGTGTGAGACTCACCAGAAGGGTAGGGCAGAGGGACATTTGAGGAGGCCTCACAACTCTGTCTGGCCTTTCTCCCTGAAGGCCTCAGTTTAATCTCAGTCTCTTCTCTTCATGGGTGGTGAATGGAGGGAATGTCAGAAAATAACCTTTTAGATCCCAAAATTGCGTGGGCTCCTCTCAGGGACCGTTGGACACACAGGATGGGAGGTGATACCAGCTCTTCTGTTCCTCCCACCAGCCCTGGATTCTTTCTGGCCCCGTCTTGTCCTTCCACGGGAGCCTGGAGCAATGTCGGGATGTAGGGCCAATATCTTCCCTTCACTAACAGACACCGGCCCCTAGCCTGTGGAGGGAGTCTCCCCTCTCCCCCTTTCAGCTGTCCTTCTCCTGGTCTCATCTGTGATCCCACAGCAGACAGCTGTCCCTAGTAGCCTGACGAGGTAGCCAGGCCCCTTCCTCTTGTGTGCCAGCCTGGAGAGGGCTGTTCTCGCCAAGAAAGACATCAGTGCCAGGATCTCGGAGCCGTGACTACCACAGAAACATCCTGAGCATCAATGTCCCATAGCAGTGGTTGACCTTTGAAATGAAGCTTCACCACACACCCCAGATGGCCCTGAAACACTTTCTTTGTTTTTGTTTTATTTGAGATGCTGTCTCACTCTTGCTCAGCCCGGTGTGCAGTAGAGAAATCATGGCTCACTCCCAGGCTCATGTGATGCTTCCATTTCAGCCTCCCAAGTAGCTGGGACTACAGACACGCCCCACCAGGCCTGGTTGTTTTTTAGAAATTGTTTCGTTGAGACCAGGTCTCCCTATGTTCCCGAGGCTGACTTCAGCCACCATGCCTAGCCCTGTACCACTTTCTTATCACAGAAAGCAAAGCAAGACAGAGGAGGGAGGGGCCTGTAACCCCTCTTGGGAAACATTGTGTCCTCTTCCTCGGTGCCCTGTTAGTTCCCTTGTACCAAACGTAATATTCCTATTCCTTTGATGTAAATAACAAGTTTGAGGATACTTCTTTTCATCCTACATTGTGTCCTCTTCCTTGGTGCCATGTTATTTCCCTTGTACCAAACGCAATATTCCTATTCTTTTGATGTAAATAACAAGTTTGAGGATACTGCCTTACATCCTGAACTTGTGGTTTATAGCCAGACTATCATCGCCTAGTTTGGGATATATTGGACATTTCCAAGTGCAGTTGTGGTTGTTGGAATAATTGGTAGGCGCTCCTGGCATTTGGGGACTGAGTGTTACAAGGAGGCAAACATCTCTTTCCAGAGTCTTCAATAAACTGGATTTTCTATACATGTCACTTCCCTGTAAACTGAGAGAGGCTGGTATGTTTCTTCATCTGGGAACCTATAAACCCTTATTGACTGCTTTGGAAGTCACACCACTTCACGGCATTCCATTGTTGGGTTGCACTCTGACACAACGTTCCAGTAACAGTTTCCTTTGTAACTGAACATTCCTGGGGAAAACAGAATACGGAGAATCCAACTGACCTAGAAATGTGATCACTTCCAGGATAAGCTGTTAGTTGACGGGGAAACTTAAGTGGGAGATGTTGGTAATGTGATCTCTCATGAGTTGGTGAACACACTGGCTGTGCCCGTTGCTGTTACAGCTGTTGCAGGTGTATCTCCCTCACCAGGCTCCCAGGTCCTTCCTCGAAGGTTGGAAACAAACCCAATGGATCTCTGTGTTCTCAGAATAGATCAGAGGATCTCACAGCCAGGAGGAGAGCAGGGAACACTTGTGGAACTCTAGTGATCTCTACATTATTGCATGACCAAACCCTGAGTCACAGTGATGGGTAACATGGATGTCAGTGGATGTGATGCGACTGCCACAGGCCTCTGCATCAGGAGCCGTGCAGTGGAGTGAGAGAAACCTGCAGTACTGATCTCAGTTATGTGCTTTACGGGTCCCAGATGTAAGCAGCATATTGGTTAGGGTTCCTCTGTGTGTGTGGGGGGGGGTGGGGGGGGGTGGCTGGGTGCGCGTGTGTGAGTGGGTGGAGAGAGAGAGATTGAATTTGAACCTAGCTCATGGATGTGTTGTCACTGGCAAGTCCAAATCTCGGAGAGCAGGGCGTCAGGCTGGAGACCCGGAGAAGAGGCAATATGAGAGCACAAATCCAAGGGCAGTGTAGAGGCAGAACATCTTCACCTTCAGGGGGACCCCAGTCTTCTTCTCTGAAGGCCTTCAAGGGACTGGATGAGGCCCACCCACATTGTGGAGGCCAATTAGGTTTACCCAAAGTCTGCTGATTTAAATGCTAGTTCTCATGAAAGGAAAACCGTTCACAGAGACATCAACTCTAGTCAAAGTGAACATTTCTCATGCATCACAGCCTAGCAAAATTGACATATCAGATTTCCCACCATGGCCATCTTATACAAATCCTATCAATGATGAAGGTCTATCTGACAAAGGCAGGTGACTTCCTAAGATTCTGCATTAACCATTTTTATATAGCCCAAACCATAGTTTTAGGCTCAGCACAACTCCATCCAGGAGGCTGAAGCTGATGTGGATGCGTTCCAGAGAAGAGGCAGTGATGGGACAGTCAGGGTGTATATTTAAGAACAATCCCAGAGGGCACAGGTGATACCCCTGCATACCAAGAGTTTACCCTTGTTAGCCAACTTCAGAAGGACATAGCTTCGTCAGGCAGGAGCTGGCCAAGTCTCCCAACATAGTCTCCCACTGAGGGACCTTTCCCTCTAAGGTTCCTCCTCCAGTACAAACAGTTGAGTTGCCTCTTTGGTTTAGGGGAACTGTCAGAAGGCAGTCATTTCAGGGTGGTCATTGACACAGGTTCCTCCTCTTCACGAGCATGGATGACATCCCTAGGTGTTCTGTGTGGGATGTTTTGGAGCTGGGTCACCCCTGCTGTCCCATAGTCCCAGCTCCGTCAAGTGTGATTTGGGGTTCAGGATTCCGTGTGGTTTCAAAATTGGCCTCAGGGTATGACTGTGGGCTCCTCACAGGATGAGAGACCCACCATCTGTGCTGTCACTGAGTAGCTCCGATTCAGTGTCGTACTGTGGGTCTACGAACACTGCGCTGACACAATGCTGACCCTGCCTTTGCTGTGTCTGCAAGTAATCAACCACTTTCTTCCATTTGGGCTCAGTCTTCTTACCCGCCAAATTTATGGATATATGACAATCCGAAACAGCAACTGAACTGGCGATCCTTTTGGCCTTGTTAGCCACCACAGGGCTTCTTAGGGACTGCGTGAGCTCCTGACACGCTACAATATTGAATTGTGTGGTGTTGCCTGACTGGAATAGACTTACTCTTCATGGCATCACACGCATACTACTGACACAGGGTTGGCCTCGTCACACCTGGGTCGTTTACAAGTCAGCTTCAGAATCCATGCCATGTCCGATACCAGCCACAATGCTATTTAATTTATATATTTAAGTCAAATAAGGTTCCGAAGTCAAATGCATTTAAAAAGGTGGCTTGATATTCTTACTTGAAATTCCAAAGCAGTTAACGCATACTAGAGATGTAGTTGTAAACAACAATGGAGTGAACATTTTTGAAATGTTAAAGGGATTAAGGAAAGATAACCAGTACATTTATCTGCAGTGTAATATCTGCTCCCTATGTTATTTCATTTATTCTTGATAGCAAGTACTTAGTGTAAATATTCTAATTTCTACTTTAGAAATGGGGAAACAGGCCGACAGGATGTAAGTGTCTTGCCCATCGTCTCAAAGCCAGTGTGTGAGAGGCAGGATGGAATCCCACGGCTGTGTCATGCCATAGCCCGTAAGGAGACAGTGTAGGTAGGATCCAAGTAATTTTGCTTCAGCAAGTTTCCCTGGTTGCTTTCCCCTTTTGTCTACCTAGGCCCTAGTTCTTTCATCCAGCTCTATAGCCTAGGGAATTCTCACATATTTTGTGGCAAATGGCCTACCTTAACAAAGGATGCAGATAAAGACGTACATAGGGGAAGGGATGATGGAAGAGGCAGGGAGCTTCCATGGCCTTTACGAGCATGCTACCCTCCATGTGTTCACCGAGGCAGAAGCTCCCTGAACCCTGCTTTTTGGGTTTTGATGGGGGTTTCATTGTATAGGCATGATTGATTGAACTGTTGGCCTGCCACTGGAAATCAACTTAACCTCAGCCCTCTCCATGTCCTGAAGGTTGGGGATGGGGCTGAAAGGCTAACCCTCTAATCCCTGATCCTAGAGCTACCTAGGAGCTCCCAGCCATTGGTCAACTCACTAGCATACAAAAAGGCATCACTATGTGGAGTTTCTTACAAATTGTAGCTGTATGACAGTAAGCAGGGTCCAGCACCAAATATGTATTTCATAATATCACACAGGTGTATGCCAGCCAAATCAGAATACAAAGTTGGAAAAATTATGCTTTTTATTCAGGCACGAGTCTCATTCACCCACGCTGGAGTTGCAGCGGCTTAAACGTGACTACCTTCATCCTCGAACTCCTAGGCTCAAGGGATCCTCCCACCTCAGCTTCCAGAGTAGCTGGGACTGCACCTACACACATCTACACACATACATGTATACATTCATGCATGCATTCATTTATTTTTGTAGAGAAGGCGTTTTTGCCACGTTGCCCAGGCACGTCTCAATCTCCCAAGCTCAAGCAATCTTCCTGCCTCAGCATCCCCACGTGTTGGATTATAGGTGTGAGCAACTGCACGAGGCCAAAATTTTCAATAGTGTCTATTACATGAGAATAAATGAACAAAACATGTGCAACGCTTCTTTGGAGAAAACTGGAAAACTTTACTGAGATTTTTAAAAGTCAAACATCTCAGAGAAATTCAGTTTGCATTCTTTCAGCTCGTCTTCGTTTAAACCTGAGGTTTCCCTTCCGCTGCAAGAGAAACATAACAGGAGGGAACATTACTAGCACAACGGTATTCAGACGAAATTAAAGGTATGCAAAGGACATCAAAGTTTTCGTTTTATACAATGGACTAAAAACAGAAGCCTAAAAGTCACCATATGGCTAACATTCAACTAGACCTCTGTAGGGACTTTGATGATACACTTCCGTGCATATACAGCAGCAACATTGTTTGAGCACACCCTGCTTTTCATGCTGGAAGGAAACCAAAAGACAGTCCAAGGCCAGAACACATTAAATCAAGTGAACCTATTAAAACGGGCTTAGATTAGATAGGAAACATTGTGTCGAGTTTTACTCAAACTACAGGCAGAACACAAAAACCTAAGAAACAGAAGGAATTTCTGAAAAAAAAATCCTTCAGAAACAATGTATCATTTAATGTTTTGGCTTGAAACAAATAGTCCGAAAACTATCTTTTGAGAGAACAGTTAATGTCACATTAGGAAATACATAAGTGAAGTGAACAGAAAGGACAGTTTTGTGTTTTTTCTCTCTATTGTGTGGAAGTGCAATAATATTCCTTTGAGCTAGTTTGCCCTTCTTTTTTCTTTAACATACACTAACCATTTGCATCCAGTTTTCACCTAGAGTCCTTATGTCAATATAAATAATGACACATTTTTCACTGGAAAGTATTCTGGTTTGTATAATTAATTAAATGGTCATATAAGTTTTAAGGTATCACTATCATGATTGATATTAAAATGTGAAAGAGTTATACATCATAACCAGTGTGGAAAAAAAAAAAAAAAAGAAATGGAGAGGGAAACAAATCGAAGAGTTAGACACATGGAAAAGTTAAATATTTCCTTCTAAAATTAACTGTTTTTGAGGGACAACTGGCAAATTTCACAAGTTCTTCCACAGCCTTTGTGATGTTCAGATATTGACGTATTACAGGAATATATTAAATAATGTAGGCATTTCTGGCATTTCAACCGTTTGTTTCATCCACACTCTGAAAACATTAGTGTTCAGGAATGTATTCCCTTTCAATTATGCCCTACATTCAATACCTGTGTCTTGTTCACTCATATTCCATGTTGTGCCTTTTCCATTTTCTTCTAGATTGTTTAATCTACTGGATGCTCCCTTCCCAGCTAGTTCTCAAAAAAAAAAAAAGATCTATCAAATGTATTACTTTCGGATTAGTTTTACTTTTGCTAATGATTCGCCTCTTTCATTTACTGCCTGTGTCCTTTTCCCTTAAGTTTATTCTGTGACTCATTTATCACTTTTTTATTTATATTATTTTCTCGTATCATGTAATTTACTGTCTATTTTAATAAGACATACTTCTAATGCTATGACTATCCTAAGAATACAATTGAAGTTTGTTCAATAGGCTCCTGGAAATCGTGTGAAAGCAATCTTTTAATGTAAATAGTCTAATGAAGTTGTTCAGCAGCGTGGAGTACAGACATCTAGATAATTTCTGCCCTAAACATGCAGTGCTTCCTTTCAATTCAGAGGTTCTTTTAATTAAGTCAGCAATTTGGAAAATATGTATAAAAGATACCTATGTAGACTACTCAGGACTTAGTACGTTAGAGTCTTGGAAGTTTAAATCATATCGTTTGAAGACTCAAGGCAGAAACCTGTAATATATAACCTCTGATATGGTTAGAGGTTACCATGTGTGTCTTCAGTCTAATTACACACAGGGGTTCACAAAGACTTGCAGGAGAGTAGCAAGCATGCCTACCACAGGCATCTTACAACCAGCTTGGACATCACAGATTTGCGTGCACGATCCCTACTTCGTGAGCCAGAAAACGTGACTTGTCTCTTTCCATTTTATTATTCAGTCATTCAAGGGTTCACTGCAGGAAGACTTTAAAATGCAATCATTGGGTCTGGCAAGGGAGGTGGCTCAACCCCTATAATCCCAGCACTTTGGGAGGCCAAGGCAGGTGGATCACTTGAGATCAGGAGTTCGATCCCAGCCTGGCCAACATGGTGAAACCCCGACTCTACTAAAACTAAAAAAGTAGTCGGGCATGGGAGCATGTACCTGTACTCTCAGCTACATGAGAGGCTGAGGCACGAGAATCGCTTAAACCCGGGAGGCGGAGGTTGCAGTGAACAAATATCAGACCACTGCACTCCAGCCTGGGTGACAGAGCGAGACTCCGTGTGAAAAAAAAAAATGCAATTTTTAACAGCCTGAGAGAATTTAGGATTTGAGAAAATCCAAGAACACCCATGAAAGTCTCCGTACAGGTAAACGAACATCAAGCAGAGTGCCCACTCATTGTCTTAGGGACAATGAAATCTCAACTTGGGTATTGTAATTGGACTGAAGCTCATTATTATGAGAAACAAATCATGAACATAAGAATATCTCTGCACTCTCTCCAACAGAACTAGAGCATCCAGAAACCAGCACTGAAGTGGAAGTGGATTTGAATCTATCTGATGGGCATTCACTACTTTCAATAAAAGAGAAACGGGTTTAGGACTTACGAGATTTGTTCAGAATCTCAAAAATTGTGTTAGAGCTGGTACTAGAGTCTCTTTCAGGGTCAGCATATTTCATACAAGGTGGCATTACAATGTATTTGAGAAAAGCAGAAATGAGAAAATAGTCTGAAAATTGTTAGCTGTTGGTGATACTCAGAAGAAAACTTTTTTTATTTGATGATTAAATACAGCTTTGACCCAATTTCTGTCTGTATCTGATAGTGTTTCAGTTCTGCAGTCAGGATTCTGGGGTCTGAACTACCTTCCGAACAAAGTCTGCATTCAGACTGTTTCTCAAGGGGCAGTAATGTTCTCTCTTTTTATTATCTAAAGTATAATATTGTGGAAGACAGAAAGCAAATAATTTTGCATCTTAATGGATAACGTACCTCCTTCTGGCATTTTAAGTTCCTCTGATTTTGGCAGAATCTTCCCCTGGACATCAGGACCTTCTCCGCATTCACCCCCAGTCTTTGACTGAGACAGCTCCTGGAGATCAGCTTTCAGGCCAGGCACTAAAAAATACAAAGGATATAGGCTGGAGCAGCGAAACAAGAATGATAAATGAGGAAATGATCACATTCTTTTCCTCAGTGTTACGCGATAAAAGCCTGTACGCTGCTGTGGTAATAAATGTGATGCAAAGACGTCCCATCTTTGTCTTCCAGGTATTATGATATCTTAAATGACAATCTGAGGATAAATCACACCACACCTACATTCCCCATACTTTACCACTGTGTATTATCAACATATAGCTACCCGGGAAATCTGAAGACTGCCCACAGATAGCATTTTAATCAAAAGTTAATGTAATTTTCTGAAGGTGTAAATCGATGTGTTGGTGAGCCTATGACAAATCTTATAGTCATGACACTCATCCCCTGTTGAGGTACCTTGAAAATGTTGGGGTTAATCTTAATTAAAGTAACGCTTTGGTCCGAAGGCCCTATATGTGACTTTCCATACATGAATGTCATTAAGAAACAGTACAAAATACAGCAGCAAAATCACTGTCTTCCAATGAGAGTATGGTAACTGATGTGTAAAGAAGTTAATGGGCATTGATCGCTGTCATATCCTAGAACCCCCTTAACAGTGAATTGCTAAAATGGCCCATAGCCAAAATTCTGTCTATCTTGAGTTTGAAAATGCCATCTGTTGAGGAAACAATTTGTTTCGTGATAATCTTATCATACTTTGAGTTTTATAATTATAAAAATACTGAAATGACTTTTAAAAGCCCCTTAAAAATCCTACTAATATAGTTACCTGTAGGCCAGTGTCCTGAATTATCCACCTTTTACCAAACATACTGTCAAAAATACACACCAAAGGAAACAGTGGCTGTCGTTCGTTGGCCTCTTTTCTGGGGTTCCTATCCTGCTTCACTGAACTGCATTTATTCCTGAGCCAATACTGACGTATGTTCCAGTACAGACATTATTTGACTATTAAGCAGTTTTAAGCAAAATCATTCACATTTTCTAACATAGATGGTGGGAAGAATGCAAACCTTGGCACAAAATATAAATTCTTTCTCCATGAGTCAAGTGTTCTTGGTTAAGTCTCAGTCTCTGAGCCTCAGTTTTCTTATTCATTCATTTATTTAGAGACCTAGTCTCACTCAGTCTCCCAGGCTGGAATGCAGTGGCACGATCTCGCCTCACCGCGACCTCCTCTGCCTGGGCTCAAGTGATTCTCCTGTCTCAGCAGGCTTAGCTGGGATTACAGACATGTGCCATAACACCCAGCTACTTTTTGGATTTTTAGTAGAGACAGGTTTTCACCATATTGGCCAGGCTGTTCTCAGACACCTGACCTCAGGTGATCTGCCCGCCTCGGCCTCCCAGAATGCTGGGATTACATGCGTGAGACACTGTACCTGGCCGCAGTTTTCTTATTTACAAAATGAGGTTAACGTTAACATCCCCTTGCAAATAGGCATTATTCAGGGTGTTATAAGGTATGGTGACTTGGCACTCCACGTGCTGTTAAAGGGTGCTTACAACACCGTGGCCGCCATGGCTGAGAAGATCACACTGCAACATCCTAAGAAGATCAAATTAAATTAGTGCAATAATGTACATTTTCATACAACCAATTAAATGGTTTCATCTGATTTAGGAAGGAGTGTATTTTCAAGCATACAAAATGCATCTCGAAGAAAAAGAGAAGATTCTTCACACCCAGGGACTGCAGGAAGCTGCAAACTATACCCATCACGTTTCTAGCCAACTCTCAATAAAGGCTTGAGATTCTTTCCCAATCCTCCTGTTACTGGTCATGGCATAAGGCATGATGCACACATAGGCCTCCTCCCCCCATACACATTCTTTCTTACCCTTCCCAGTTCTTCGAATCTTAGGTCCACCCTGAACTTCTCTCTTCTGACCAGGTGTACGATCCCGACTTTCAGCTGGTGTTTCTTCTTGTTGAGGCTTTGGCACACTGGGCTCCTGGGAAAAGGTGTGTGTGTGTGTGTGTGTGTGTGTGTGTGTGTGTGTGTGTGTGTAGATAAAAAATTTCCTTTCAATGCATGTCAATAATATGAATATACACATTACATAGATACTTCTGATCATACGCATGTTTAAAGACGTGCCCCAACACTATCCCAATACTATTCCACATACTTATTCTACATAAAGTCACGCTTCCCACAGAGAGGTAACTCTAAGACTGTGACCCTCAACGGCTTTGGACGCCATTTTAATTTACATCGGGTTGAATGTGTATACTGTGCTATAAATAAGCATGAGGAGGAAATCACCAGTCAAATCTGGGGAGCACAAGATCACACATCCAAACACGACGAGTATGTAGTCCTCTGGGTTACTCTTTCCTTCATGAGCTGCAATGATCACTTCTTATCAACATGGGAGAACTTCATCAATATATCTAAACTAATTCTACAACAATACGACAGCAACAACAAAATTCTGTTAATAGAAAACATCAAATGTTAAGTCACTCACATCAGGCCTGGTCAGCTGAACAAGTCGCACATGTCGCATTGGTCTATGTTTTCTTTCTCTCCCACTCATACTTCACTCTGCAAATAGAACAGTGTGCACTTGAGGAGGCCGAAGTGGGTGGACGACCTGACGTCAGGAGTTCAAGGCCAGCCTGGCCAACAAGGTCAAACCCTGTCTCTACTAAAAATACAAAAACCTAGCCAGGCTTGCTGGCAGGTGCCTGTAATCCCAGCAAGTAGGGAGGCAGAGGCAGAAGAAATCACTTGAACTCTGGAGGCAAAGGCTGCAGGCAGCCAAGTTTGCGCCACTGCATTCCAGCCTGGGCAATAAGAGCAAAACTCCATCTCAAAAAAAATCAAACCAAACCAAACAAAACCAAAGACAAACAAAAAAACCCCAGAATACTGTGACCGGAAAAACGCACGTGAGAGGATACTATATTTGAGCACTTCCAAGGCCATATGTTAACTTGCAATTTTAAAAAATTTGGTAATACATTGAAAAGTCAGTCAGAGGGCATGTATGAGTGTGTATGCCTTCTGAATCGAATACTTGCACAACCAGCTAAGCTTATCAAGCTAGCTGAGCAATGCCTTAGGGCTCATGGCAAGAGACACATGGCATTTCCAATGAGGGTTCGTTTCATAACTGGTCTCTTTTTAGTGAGACAATTAAGAAAATACAGCTTGAGAATTAAAATTTAAGTGCCCACAGCTTTTGTCACACAGGCATTTGCTAGGCCCATTTCCCTTCCAAAATGAAGTTTTGTTGGAATGGTGAGCCCCACCCGTCCACTCGAACTTCCAAGATGGAGTTGAGAAGTTGCCACACAGTTGTGGGGGGTCCTCACCGGGCTGGCACCTCTGAGGTTCGCTATACAAACCCTGGGGCTGCGAACACCAGCCCAGAGTGTTCCCGCTTTCCAGGCCCCTTCCTTACCACCCACGCCATCACAGCCCTGATCCCCCTTGAGGAGTATGGAATCTGTCCTCTGGAAGGGGTTCCAGGCATTTCTGAGACTTGGATACTGCCAACAGAAGCCCAGCATCGCCACAGCTTCACCTAACTGCCGCCCCCCGGCCCCTGCCGCCCACTCCAAGGCCCTTCTTCTTGGTACTTTCTGACTCCCACAACACAAGAAGGCCCATAGCCATGGAGCCGCATGAGAAGGACGACAGCCTCAAGGCCCTTCTCCCTTGGAGTCACCGACCAAGAGGCACGACCCTCGGAAGCCTGCTGTCTCCTCCTCACCCTCACTCACACTTCAGCTTCCAGTGGGATGGGCCCGTGGGCCTAACCCGCTGAGTCCACTGTACATATCTCCTCGGTATAGGCCTATCTTGATCTTCCTTGCCAATTCATATTTCACAATGCAAACGGAAAGCTGCGATTCGGAAAATGCACTTGACAGGGTAGGTATATCTGACCACTTCCATAGTGAAATGCCAACTTGCAATTTTTACAAAACATTTGGTAATACTTTGGAAGTAAGTCTCGGGGCAAGTGAGTGTGTGTGCCTTCTGAATCGAATGCGTGCACACTCCCTTAAATTGGTCAAGCTACCTAAGCAATGTCTTAAGGCTCCTGGCCAATGACACAGGGTTATTTCCAATGAGGTTGGTTTCACAACTGGACTCTTCATAGTGGAGATCTTTAAAAAATACAGCTGGTGAATTAAAACTGCAGTGACCATGGCTTTTGTTACACACCCATCTGATAAGCCCATTTCCCACCTAAAATCAAGTTTTGTTGGAACGCATGGTCCCACTCATTCAAACCTCCACTGTAGAACTGAGACATCGAGACGAAGCCCTGGGCGCTCCTCACTGGACACCTGTGCCAAGCGTTCGATATACCTGTGAGCTCCCGTCTCTAACCCACTGCGTTCAAGAACCTCTCCTTACCTCCCACCCAGCCCTTTCCCAAGTCCTTACAAAGGAGTCTGGAATATGTCCTCTCTCCGGGGTTCCAGGCCCTTTCAAGACGTGGATACCTCCAAGAGCATCCCTAGCACTCTCCCAGTCCTCACTTGACGCCGCAACTCCACAGCGCAACTTCCTCCGGCGTTCGGAACCCACCACAAGGACCAAGATGGCGCCCGGGCGTGAGGAGGACTATCACCTCAAGATTCTTTATGTGGGAGGCCACGGACCACGCTGCCCCGTGCCCTGGAAAGCCACAAGCTCCTCCTCACACTCGCTCACACTTCCACTCCTGGGAGGACTGACTGGTCTGTGGACCTACCAGCTGAGTCTCACTAGCGGTAGAAACGGTCTGGACCGCAGTAAAGTAACCCTCACACCCTCACACCCTCACAGCTCTGCGACGTTCACCACGTGGCGAAGGGGCCGATGGGAAGCCGCCCAGTGAACACGCGCGCACGCAGGTGGGTGCACCGAGAGCATGCGCAGTGAAGTTGGTGCCCGCCTTGTGGGCTGTGGCCCCGCCTCCTCGCCACGCCCAGCCGTGCCCCGCCTACCCCACCCCACCTGCACCCAACAGTTCTGCGCCCTGTCCCAGGTCCCCACTGAGGACTTCAGAATGTGCCCTCTGTGGGTGGTTTCCTGTGCCTTCGGGACTCAAATACCACAAAGAGTTTCCCCTTCAAAACTCACTCCAAGTTCACGAGGCCCTCTTCTGCTCTATGGACCCGCTACCTTCCCTGTCCAGGACCCCCACTACAGCAAGGACAATGCTGCATCTTGGCCTGCTGGGAGAAAGACAGGGACCGCAAGGTCCTTTCCCCTAGGAGGCCGTGGACGGCGCCCACGGGCTCCTCCTCACACTCTCCCACACTTCAACTCTGGGAGGACTGATCTGCGAACCTACTGGCTGAGTCCCAGTGGGCACCGCAGAAGGAAATCACTACGTCTCCTTGCACAGCTCTGCAGGGACAGAAGGCAGACAGACAAAGCGCATGCCCACAAAGGGACTTGTGCAGCAAGGGGCATGCACACTGAGTCAGGCACACGCAGGTCTGGCCAGGGTTTTCCCGCTGTTCCCTCACCGAATCCCCGGTTGTGTGTAGTAGAAAGAAAGGGACGCGAGACATTTTTTGTTTGTCTCTTGCCCACCCATTCTCATGGATTCAGAAACGTTGAGAACAGAGAGTTGTATGTCACCCTTAGTAGGGGGTGTGTCTTAGAAAGGCCTTTTGTGACAGAAATAAAGAATTTTATGTCTATATTTACACATACTTCTTTTCCTCTGGGTATTTTTCTGTTGCCCAGGGTGGAGGGCAGTGGCATCACCATGCTTCTCTGCAGTCTCCATCTCTTTGGCTCAAGCAATCATCCTCACACTGCAACCTCCCGTGTAGCTGGGGTGGCAGGTGGCCGCCACCATGCCCACCTAGTATATTTAGTGTATTTAATTACTCTTTCAAATGGCGTGGGGGGCGTCACTGTGTTACTCAGGCTGCTCTCAACCACATGGCTTCAAGTGATCCTCCCATCTCTGTCAATTTTTATACATGCTTTTTATACATGCCGTAGACCCAATCAATTCACACTTGTGTGCATTCTTAAGGTTGTGTTATTGCACATGTTATTGCACAGCTCTGAACTGGTAGCTGATTTCCCTGAATGCCTGTAAGGTAATCACTGGCCCACCCGTGAGTGTGGTTTTACCATTGGCTCACAGTGGCTTGGAAAGCCTGCATGGGAAGTATGTCTTGAGGAAAGGTGCAGAGTTTGCAGTAACAATTTTGAAAAACAGTGACAACCAATGCCTTCCTTCCCTCCCTTGCCTCTGCTCATGTGCCAGGTTTTCTGTTTTCTCCACTATTAAAACATCAGCCTAGAGTATTCTGTGATGAAAAGTTTTTATCTCTTTAATCATTTCATTTCATCATCCAGATGAAATTTCATTTCCTTTTTTTTTCCCAGAAAGATTGTGAACAGAAGGGAAAAAGTATCTTCTGAAAAACACATTATAAGGTAAACTTAGTGAAAAGATTCATCATATTTATGAAATGGACAGGGTGAAATCCTGAATCTGGAAAAAATTTAAAAATCGGTTTCCATAACATCCATCCGTTTTGTCTTTACCACTTATCCTGTGAGAATTGTAGAAAAGATGAATTCCTTGCTTTTGGCAACTGCATTAAGTAGTCAAACTGCTGGAGCTTTCCATTAATATCACACATCCAGATGTAACAGCCACAAAACACAAAGCCGTTGTACCCGTTTTTGGCTGGGCACGGTGTCTCACGCCTGTAATCCCAACACTTTGGGAGGCTGAGGCCGGCTGATCACCTGAGGTCCGAAGTTTGAGACCAGCCGGGCCAACATGGTGAAATGCCATCTCTACTAAAAAAAAAAAAAAAAAAACTCAACCAGGCATGGTGGCGGGTGCCTGTAATCCAAGCTACTCAGAAGGCTGAGGCAGGAGAATTGCTTCAACCTGGGAGGTGAAGGTTTCAGTGAGCGGAGATTGCGTCATTACACTCCGTCCTGGGCGACAGAACAAAACTCCATCTCAAAACAAAAACAAAAGCAAAATCAACTGTACTCGTTTTTTAAATCTCGTTGTAATTTCCCTCAAACCTCTAGCACTAAATTCAACATTCACAGACTTAAAAGTTCCATGGCCAAAAGAGACTCTACCTCAAATGTTTGGACACCCACAGTGGCATCCCAGCTGAAGACAAGGCTGGAATGTGTCTTCACACACCCACCCACCCACTTTTTGAGACAGGGTTTCTGTCTGTTGCCGAAGCTAGAGTACACCGCAGGACTTACGGCTCACCGCAACCTAGGACTCAGGCTCAAGCGATCCTACTACTGTATGTTCCTGAGTAGATGGGACTACAGACATGTGCCACGATGCCCAGCTAATTTTAAAAATTGTGTAGAGCAGAGGTCTCACTGTGTTGTCCAGGCTGGTCGGGAACACCTGGCTTCAAGGGATTCTCCTCCCTCGGCATCCAAACATACAGGGATTACAGATGTGAGCCACTGCATGTGGCCTTTTTTCCCTTTATCTTTGGCTTGAGGTTTATCTAAGTCTTTGTTTGCTCCAGCCCAGGAAACTGATTTTTTTCCCTCTCACTTGGAGGAAAGGGCAATTCAAACGTTCAGGATTCTTGACCTACTGAAAGTCCATTGGCAACAATTGTGCCTTATCTCTACCTGCCTGCAGGAGAAAACAAAAATTAAAGTCAGCACCAGGCTGCACTTTTCCCCTATACATTATCCTGTGCAGAACAGTGGTTGAGTGATCCAGTGAGCCAGTTCTCTTGCAGTCGGAGGGATTATTGCTAAATGTTGTGAGTACATGTACTTCTCATAATAGACAACAGCTTGGCTGTGGCCTCACACTATAGAGAAATCCATAGGCTCCCAAGAGTGACAACTTCGCCATCTCTACCCCCTGACTCTTCCTTTATTCAAAGAAAGATTTCACCATGTTATAGTGAGTCACGGCCTTGCTGGTGAATCACACCGTTGCTGCGACTGTGTCAGGGACCCCCAAGGCCACCCTCACCTTCAGTGATTCACGGACACTCTCTGCTGCCCTTCCGCATACAACACTCCTGACTCAAGCCAGCTCCCTCACCTCAGGTCAGTATACCATGCCTCACAACTTGTTACCGGCCTCGCTCCTACAGTGGTCACTCCTCTCTCCTGAACCACCCACTGCTCCCCCTACATTGGATCATTACCCAAGCTAAGGGAAAACTCACTTCCTCCCCCCCCAACCCACCCCATGTCATTTTGTAGCTACTAACACATTTATCTGCTTTCCCGCAGAGGAAAACTGCATGAACTTATGCAACACAGTTCATTAGACTCCAGTTTCAAAATTATCTACAAAGGAAAATGAACCAGAATATCCAAAATGATTCTGAAATATAACTTTGGGGAATTCACCCTACCTGATGGCAGGATTCACATTAAGTCTATGTTATTTGTTTATTGATTATGTTTTCAGTGCATTGGAAGAAGGTGACTTCCTTCTTGTCTTAGGGATTGATCCCATATACAGGGAGCCATTGATGGTTCAGGAGAGAGGAGTGATCACTGCAAGAGCAAAGCCCCTGGGAAGGTGGGAGACATGGGATCCTCAGCTGAGGCGAGGGCCCTGCCTAGTGTTAGGAGCACTGTATGAAGCTGTTGATTAGGATTTTTAATCATCCAGCCCCATACGGCAATTGTGTTACTTCTCCAGTGTTCACGACAGTGTGGTATTGGGGAAAGATCAACAGATCAAAATGGAGTCCAGCAACAGACTCACAGACATAAGAAGCTGATTTTCAGAAAAGGGGCAAAGGCAATAGATAAAGATTATCTTTTTTAAAAATTTGTGTTGTTTGCTTCTGCCTCATGGCCGCTACATTAATTGTTTTTTATTCCTCTGTTTCCCCTCCCTGTGTTTCTCCTCTGCACTTCAACTGCTCTTCTGTTTGTCTGTCTGTCCCACCACAGTGCGATATTTCCCACAGCAAGTACCACGTGTATTTGTGATATTTGCTATGTCCATCCTATCCATGATAAGACAGGTCAAGAAAATGTAGCACAGATACACAATGGAACACTATGCAGCCATAAAAAGAATGAGATCATGTCCTTGGCGGTGACATGCATGGTGGTGGCACCCATTATGCTTAGCAAACTAACGCAGGAACAGATAACCAATACCGTATGTTCTCACTTATAAGTGGGAGCCAAAAGATGAAAACACATGGAAACATGGGAGAAGCATTGCACACCTGGGCCGACTGGAGTGTAGGAGTGGGAGGGGGCAGAGGATCAGGAAGAATATCTAGCGGATGCTGGGCTTAAAACCTGGGTGATGTGATGATCTGTGCCGTAAATCACTGAGACCAAGCTTTACCTGTGTAGCAAACCTGCACATCCCAAACATGTACCCCTGAAATTAAAGCAAAATTTGGAAGTTTTACAAAGGCAATATCTCACATCCTTCGTTCTATGTCTTGGGCATTGTGTCATTTACCTAAGCATTGTGGTGACATAAAAGCTGAGGCATAACAACAGTTTGTATGATTAGCCACTTAGCAGGATTATAGCCCAGTATGATCCAACATCAACGGCTAATATTGAATTGCATTTGACTCCTCAAAGTA